CTTTTTCCGTGTCCGGCAACGGATCGTAACCCTCAGTGTCGCCCCCGAACCGGACCGGGACCGGCAATGGGATCGCAACCCTCGGCGTTGCTCCCACGCCTCGCTCAGCCAGTGAGCGGGAACTGGTCTGTATGTGGGATCCGAACCCTCGGCGGGGGAGCGCTGGTGTGCTCCCAAGCGGCGCACTATCGCAGTGCGCCACCAGGCCGGCCTTCTACCAACTTTTTGAAGTACCCTCGTATGTGTATATCATCTATCTCATAGAGTGGCTGTAAGATTATGAAATAAAATATGTAAAATACCTAACCATAACCAAGCTTCTACCAACTTTTTGAAGTACCCTCATATGTGTATATCATCTGTCTCATAGAGTGGCTGTAAGATTATGAAATAAAATATGTAAAATACCTAACCATAACCAAGCTTGGTACAAGTGCTTAAATATGAGTTACCCACTACTCTCTCCCTGTATCTCAACTTCTGTAACTACCCTATAATATTTGTCTTGGTCAAAATTTGAATTTCTACTTCCATTTTATTTCCTTCAGGTGATTGTAGTCACAAGATTCCTATTTCAAACTTTGAATCTGGGCATGACCAAGCAACTGTGTTACAAAACCTTTATAGATTTATTCATCCAAACCCAGGGAACTGGCCACCTATCTACTGCAAGGTAATTTCAAGTTCTTTTAAGGTATTCACTTAGATACCGAAAGATCCACAAAAGGTCCCAAAAGAAAGGATTTTTGCTTTTGTACTAACTGTGTGTGTTAGAAACATGTTCGTTCTGAATTGTTTTGAATTTAATTATGGTATAATGCCTTTTAAAAATTTCTCTGGTTTTGGAGGGATTTTGAAGACTATAAAAACTGAACGTATTTCTGCTTTGGTAAATCTGATGTTTTGAGTTCTTATGAAATATCTGAATTGTCTTTTTAGTGAAGAATGGATGACGAATGTTTGTACACATGTTCTCCAAGCAAGATTACCTTTTATTCAAAATTTTCTTTGCTCCTCTTTTGTAATATTTATTTTTTTTTGTTTTCATTCTTTTTGCAATTTTTAGAGAGACTATATTCTTTATTTTGTCTGAAGTCTTCTGTCTAGGAATCATTGCAAGAATTGGGTTTTAACCTTGCTACTTATTAGTATAACCAAGAACAGATGACCTAATCTTTTTCTGAACATTGGTTTCTTCATTTACTTACCCTGTCTCACTTGCTTTTCGTAAAGTATGTTAACATTGCTATGTAAATGTAACTGGTTAATAATAGTAGTAATCTTTTCTGATATATGTTGCTCTTTCTTTATAGTTCTCATTTAATTGTCACAAACTCCTCATTCTCTCTCTCCTACACCACCTCCTTCAGTTTGAAAGGACAGCAGTAATTAAAAGTAATTAAAAATAGGAGAAAATAAAAGTTTTTTTTTTTCTTTTCCAGTCTGATGATCGAGCCAGAGTCAACTGGTGTTTGAAGCATATGGCGAAGACATCAGGTAAGTAAAACTCTGGGTCACTGCAGAGGTGTACTATAATATCTACATTTGTTTCTATTTTGATATATATGTTCTGAGTACCTAAATTCAACAGTTTATGTGTTGTTCTATTTACCAATGGAAGAAATCAGGAAAGATCTGGAACTTCGCACTGTAGAGGACCTTATAGTGGGGATCTACCAGGAAAAATTTCTCAAGGAGCCCTCCAAGACCTGGGTTCGAAGCCTCCTAGATGTGTCCATGTGGGATTATTCTAGCAACACAAGGTAGTGATAAAGTTTTTGTGGTGTAGTGATTTTTGACTTGGTAGGACTAGTTGTTTTTGCCCTTCTATGTGATATTTTTCTATGAAACCTTGGAAGCATTGTATTTCCTTAAATATAGTAAAAGATTCCATTGATTGTAAGATATATTGCTACTTTGTGTACCTCTGAAAAACAAAAAAAAGCCTGCCAAATAAACTTACACATTCTTATTGCTTAGAATTTCTGTATGATATAAAAATCTTTTTTTTTATTATATAAAACTCTTACACATGAATACATAAGTGAAATAAACTGGGAAAAGTTGTTTTTTTTTTTTTTTAAATAATGTCAGGCTTACAGAAAATTTGGAGGAAGAGTACACTGAAGTCCTGCATACCATTCTCTCGGATTACCTAATTGTTAACATTTTAATATATTATTTTTAAAATTTTCTCTTTAAATATATGCACAGTTTCTTTTTCTAAACTACTTGAGGGTAAGTTGCCATTATTATGTCTCTTTGCCTCTAAATACTTTGATGTGTATTTCTTAGGAATAAGGACACTTCTCTTATAACCATGGTATAATTATTAAAGTCAGGATATTGCCATTAATACGATACTATTATCTAATATCAAGACTATATTTATATTTTGCTAGTTGTTCCAATGTCTTCTATAGCAAAAAAAAATAATAATAATAAGTTTAGAGTCCAATCCAGGATGTCATGTTACATTTAGTTATGTCTCCTTAGGCTCCTTTAATCTGGAACAGTTCTTACTTTGACTTTCATAATTTTGACATTTTTGAAAAGTACAGGCCAGTTATTTTATAGAAAGTTTTTCAGTTTTAGTTGGTCTGTAGTTCCTCATGATTAGATTGAGGTTATGTATTTCTGGCAGGAATACCACAAAAGTGATGATGTGTCTTCTCAGTTTGTTATATCTGGAGGCATAAGATGACACTTTATCTCTTTACTGATGATGATAACTTTGATTAGTTGCTTAAGATAGTGTCTGCCAGATTTCTCCCTTGAAAAGTTAGTGTTTTTCACCTTATACTTAATAAATATTTTATGGGCAAATACTTTGAGATTAGGTAGATATTCTGTTCCTCAAACTTTCATATTCTAGTTTTAGAACTCATTGATGATTTTTGCCTGACTTAGTTATTACTGTGTTTGCAAAATGGTGATTTTCCTAATCCTATTATTTCTTTTGCCTTTATTGTTTGGCCTTCTACTGTAAGAAAGAGCTTTTCCTTTTTACCAATTTATTTTTTTCCATTTATTTATATGATTATGGACTCATAGTTTTCTGTTTCACTCAGCAGACTATAACCTGTTTTTATCATAATTTATTTTTAAGCTCAGATTGTTCCCTATATGGCCAGTTGGGAATCCCTTCAAGCACTGGTTTCTGTATTCTTTTGACATTGCATCATTTCTTTTTTGTACAGTTTGTTTTTTCAGTACACACATGTTATATAAAAATCTAATCAGAATAGTTAGCATATCTGTCACCTAAATGTTTATCATTTCCTTGTGGTTATAACATTCTTTTCCTTTTTATTTTTATTTTTTCTACTTTAATTGGCTGGCTGGTACAGGGTTCCAAACCCTTGACCTTGGTGTTGCAAGGCTGTGCTCTAACCAGCTGAGCTAACTGGCCAGCCCTGTGGTTATAACATTTGAGATCCAGTTTTCTCGCTGTCTCAAAATACACAATATAGTATTAGTAGCTATTATCACCCTAGAGCACCAGGATTTATTCTTCCTCTTTAACTGTAACTTTGTACCAGTCTATAATCTTTTCCACAGCCTCCCTCTCCCCTCCCTTTCTCTGCCTCTGGTAACCACTATTCTACTACCTATTTCTCTTTTTCTCTTTCTTTTTAATTTTTCTTAATTGACACATCATAATTGTATATATTTATGGTATGATAATGGGGTACATTTATACTGTGTGCAATGATCATATCAGGGTACTTAGTATTCCATCACCTGTAAACACATTGCATCATCATTCTTTGAGTGTTTTTTTGCTTTCTGTACAGTATGTTCTAAGCCCATTTTGTACTTTGTCTGCTCCAGCCTTGGATTAGCCATTTCTCCAATGAGCCCTGGTTCCTTTTAGTGGAGGACAGTATTTAGGAGATAGGATCCGGGTACTTACCCAAAGTGTGCTCATTTTTACTAGAGTGTCATTGATTCTGGGTCCCCTCAGTGGAGAGAGCTAAGAAATATATGTATGTATATGTACATATCCTCCATACACATTTTTTTATAGCTAGGCATCTGTCTATATCACTATTTTTAGCTCACCATGAATTCATACTGAACCTACAATTTCAATTCAATACCATAGAGTTTAGTTTTCCACTT